TGCCAAACCCCTCTGGATCCCACCAACCCACCCCACTGACCCTACGTTCCCCCATTCCAATCTCTCCTGCGGCCCCACTAGCCCCCCCCCAGTCCCTCCCATGGATCTCATCAGCTCCCCATACCCTCTGATTCATCCCACAGACCCTGCCTGCCCCTCCAATCCACCTGGAGCTGCTTGGCTCCCTAATCCTCCCAAGCCCACCCCCCACTCCACTAGACCTCCCATCCTGACTTACCTTAGATTGGGTGGCCATTTTTAACATGATCTAACCTCCTTCTTACATCTATGAATATCTGAACATACTCATTGAGAACTACTATTTTAGATCATAATAGTAAAAAATCTCTAAAATCTTTATAAACATATACTGCTAAAAGAATTTAGAACACAACATATTCCATGAAAGGAAAGTGTGAACCATGCTAAGAGAATGCCAGTCTTTGTTGTATTTTAGTGGATGGTCTACCATAGCCACAAAAGCACTTAGATATCTAATGCAGGATTTAAGTGGGGTTTAGATACCTAAATACAAGTGAGCAATCCACAGAATCCGTGCCTAACCTCTCAAGTGTGTGAAAAGGTCACCAGTACTAAGTTTAGACAGAAAAGTTTCCTAGGCATGTAGAGTGCTGCTTTTGGCACAACTGAGCATCTTAGCATGTATTTTCTACCTGAGATTATTTGGGATTCACAAACTGGGCAGCTGTGCATTGAAGGTTGTTTAGGAGCCCAATCCAGTAGGTGTGCTCTGAATAGCCCCAATAAAGCATTGAATCAATGTCAAAACAAAGCAATGGCAGTAATTTCTATTTACAAACATAGCTGGAAGAGAAGAAGATTCCTAAGCTTAGAAAATTCATGACTGCTTAATGTAAAGTGGGAGCAAGGAACAAAACAAGGTATTCCCCAAAACAGGAACTTGCTTGTAGTCTTTAATCATTGGGCTACAAAATCAAACTCTCTCTTTCTGGCCCCAGAATCTTGCATTATTTCACACACTGGCACCACTTCATCAGGAAGACTGGAGAGTGACTCCTTTATAGGCTTGCCATCAGCCTGGTGGGGTGGTACTCTTTTAAGAGGTGGGAGATATGAATTTAAACCTCTTCAGCCTGAAAACAACCTAGAAACCCTACTGTTTAGACTTTTGGGCAAGTTCTCTAACATCAAGGCAGTCATTTCTGCTTAAAGAAATGTTTTGGGTACCAAAGTCTAGGCAGACTTTTCAAACAGTTCATAATCATCTTTTTTCCTCCTCCAGTTTGTCAATCAGTAGCTTTTTGGTAGTGAGTGAGATGTCCAGAACTAAATGTAACACTCTATAATCATATCAGATATAAACAGAAATGATCAATTTCTCTGCTAGGTACCTCTGCTACCTCTCATTAGGTACCTCTGCTACGTAATGCAATATGTTCTGTAAGCATTCCAAATGTAAACTGTTTTATGCTGCCATATAGCATTGAAAACTCATGCATAATTTACTTGAGTAAATAATTTACTTGCCTCCGTAATTGGTCACTTTCAACATTATTGCTTCAACTTTATTGCTGCTCACCTTGTCAATTTCATTCTCTCTGGGCATATCTACATGAAATACTTTACTGTGCAGTAGAACAAAATTACTGTGCAGTAAGCATCACTGTCTACATGTTCAGACACTTACTGTGTAGTAATCTGGAGTACTTACTGCACAGTAAGGCAGGTGTAGACAGCCAACAGGGGGCAGGAGATTGCTCCCTGCCTCCGGGAGCTGCTTGCTGCTGGGGTGGGCTCTGGTGGTGGAACCTGGGCCAGGATAGTGTCCCCCTGTCCTGGCAGCAGGGAGCTCCTGGCCCTGGTTCTCCGATTGTGGAGATGGCGCTGGGTGCTCCAAGCACAGGGAGCATTCCCTGGCCAGTCTGGAGCTGACTGGGATCTGCCCCAGGCAGGGACAGTTTAAGGCCAGCCCTGAGCTGGCTAGAAACTGCCCAAAATGCAACAGGGACTTTTGTACATGCCACATTTTTTGCCCTTTCTTGCACTGCAACTGCATGATTGTTTGCATGATTGGGTTTTCCAGATGATTTAAAAGTCTCTCTGGTGCATTAAACTAAAACTCCTCAGACATAGTTTAGTTTGGCTTACTGGGAATTAAAGCATCGCATCCATGGATTCAGTGAGTGCAAACGCAAAGGGTCTTAAAGATGTGTGATGAGCTTCTTTGTCCACCAGAAGGAATTGCGACTTTTTTTATAGTTCACCCCTTTCAGTTGCTTTCGCTTTCAAATTGCTCCCACATTTGTTTTTTCTTGTATGATTTGCTGGCTCCCTGCTTCCACAGCTGCATGGCAGGGCATGGGCACAGGGTGGATGGGGGGCCCTGGGCCGGGAGGCAGTGCTGGACTGTCTCAGTTTCCTGCAGTGCTGGCCAAGGACCCAGCTTCAATAGTTTGAAAACCTAGTGTGTGTAAATACAGATGTGACACTCCAAAATAAAAAAGTTTAAATTTTATAAACTTGTTTCATTTAATGACAATTAAAACCCATGGTGTGTACAGGTGCCCACAGTTTCCAGGCAGCTCCAGGATGCACATGCAGACTGGGACAGTTCTTGGCCAGCCCTGGGCTGTGCAGGGAGGTCTGCATGTGCAGTCTGGAGCTTGCTGGGAACTGTCCCATTTCGGGCAGTATCCAGCCAGCTCCGGGCTGCGCGTATAGATTTCCCCAGCCCTGCAGCTATTTTCAGCCCAGTGCCCCAATAGGGCAATTGAGGCATGGGGCTTGGAAAGACCTGTGGGGGAGGGGCAGGTCCCATCCCCTGCTCCAATCCCATGGTGGGGTAGCTAAACAGTGAGTTGCTGCAGGGGAGGGGCAGGTCCCAGCCCCCAGCCCCAATTCACTGGTGGGGCAGCTAAGCAGTGAGCTGCTGGCCGAATGGGGAATACCTGCCCAGTCAGAGGCTCACTGCTAGCTGTAGCTCTTTACAAGCCCTCTGCCCCCAATCAGGGTACTGGGTCCAGGAATTCCCCACTGCTGGAGCAAGGACATTGGCTTAGCCCAGGTGTCACCACTGAAATGCATCCTGGCAGTAGGCAGCTCCCAGTGGCAGAGAGCAATCTCCCAGCCCAGCTGTCTCCTTGTCTGATGCTCCCTGCCAGCCCTTGGGCTAGTATCCAGGGGGAGCCTGGAGCTCCCCCTGGCTGCTACAGGGGGGCAGAGCAGGGTGGGAGCAGCCCAGAGAGCCCATTTGGAGTAAATCTGCTCTCAAATGCTTGCACGTGTAGCTGCCTGCCCAGGGTGGATTTACTCTGCAGTAAAACCATCCAGGAGCATTTGTACGTGTAGATGTACCCCCTGTAATTATATTAATTTGAATTGTTCATTTTGTTGACAAATTATTTTGTCATTTTTTATGACTATGTTACTAACTTCTTTGGAGACTTTTGTGTTATATCTTCACTGATGCCTGCTAAGTCTTCATTAATGAAGATGTGGAATAAAGCTTGACATAATATTGATTCTCTCAGTGACTTGCTAGAAACCTCCATCCAGTTTGATTCATTGTCATTTAACATTTCCCTTTGCTTACCCATCAGCAAATTATGACATGTCATCATTTTTCTTCTTTTCTAGTTAGCCAGATAACTCATATATCACCAATAGACCCAGGTGATGGCAGTAGGGGTTAGCAGAGGAATGAACTGGATTGCCAGACTGAGCTACCTCAAACTATTTATTCCTTCCATTAAAAGATGTAACATAAATGCTTTATCTGATGACTTCCTCTTTGCTACCTGGCTGACAATACAACACTTTTAAGATCTAGCAGTGGTCGCCTTCTTGTTACCTATAGCAAAATATTCTATCTATGTTAAAGCTTCACAGAAACTTCTTCCTAAAGTGCTAACTGGTTTGTTTTTACCACAGATCCAGAGAAAAGGTATGATAGCTATGCAGTTCTAAGGCATGGTTTTGTTAGACTTTTACAATTAACTTTATAAATCTCTATAAAAACTATGGCACACTTTCACTTTTTCTTTAGGCTTTGATGTCAACTGGCTCCAAAAATGCCAGTGTTTATTGTCTTTAATTGGTTCTAGCAAACTAGGACACTAATTGCCTCTGGCCAGCCAATAGTTTTATATTTTAAAAATCAATTATTATTTTATTTTGTACTAAGATTTGTTTTTTCTGTCCTGAAATATCTAGGTTGGCTTCAATATTAGGTTTGTTGGTCCTTGGGGAGGCTGCCAAATTAAACTTGTCCTGCTTGAAGGTTTTAATGGACCTAGTGAGAGATTTTATTTCAAGCTCTATGTCTCTTCAGAAGCAGGTAACAGCACTGTTAATTTAGATGTAAGAGGAAAATGTGTTTGTTTCAAACATTAAATTGGATAGAAGTAACGCATTTATTTTCTTTACTCCTGAAAACTGAAGGTCATGTTCACCTTAGAATTCTGAGATGTGGGATAGAGCGAGCAGACCAGTTTTTCAATAAACTAAACACCTGGGAGTGCAGTTCTCTTGTAGTTTAAACACCCTGCGTGATTGCTGAATGACTGTTTCTTCTACTAAGTTACCCACTCACTTCTGAACAGTTAACATGGCCAAATGTGAAATTAGATTAAAGTATATTAATCTGCTCCTACTGTAAAATACTCAATTCTTCCATTAGAATCTGTATTTGTTATAGATTTTCTAGATATTTAATTGAAGCTTTATATTCCTACCAACAGGAAGAGAGGTCCATAACTTATCTACCATCCTGGCCCTGGGAAATATGCTACATGTACATCTGTGTGCTCCGAGACATTTGTTTAAGTGCTAATACATCAGATTTACAAAAAACTGCTTTTCTTGGATTCTGTGATTGCAAAAAAACATCAGAACATCCAAATGAATTAAGAGGAGCAAGTTTTTTTGACCTTTTGCAATATAACCTTTCACAAACTCCAGCAGATGGTAAGTACCTAATACGAAAAAAACCCCCTGACATTTTAACACACATAGTAATGATACATAAGCACATGAAAAAACCCAGTTACAAAAAACTGAGTTTCCTGCTCACTTCCTTTCCTTGAAAATTTGGAGATAATTTGTTTCAAAGCTTCAAAAAGTTTTGTCTGTTTTCTGTTCAGTTTATTTTCCCTGAAGCCACCAAATTGTACCATTTGGTTTTTAAATACAGGTCATATAGCTCAGGTTGCATTTTTAGTTTTCATTCTGACCGAGATTACTTAATCAAATCAAAATTTGAATCATTATTTTTCTTCCAGATTGTATTATAAGAAGCATTTTCCCAATACATGTAAACAATGGAAATAATGAATTTAGTTATTTTTTTGGAACAGTGAAGGTTATAATATTGCTGACAATTTGAAGTTATGTTATTTGTATGCTTTTAATTGCCATGAGCATTGGTTGTCAGAAGTGGCACTATTTTTTGACATGTTTATTATGATTCTGGTTAACTTTTTAGAAAATATCTAATTAATATGTCACTTTTATAAATTACAAAAATATTTGAATTAATCAGGCATTTTAAGAATGAAATTAGTTGGCAATACTTTTAACATATAACTTCAGTTTAGCAATCAAAGTAAGTTCTCCATGCTGGCAGCAACTTTGATATTAGTTATAGTGCTGACTGATTTACATTTCTCTAGAAACATTTACCTTATTTTAAAAATAGGATATTAGTGACTTTCAAGGACAGGTTGGTTTGCATTAGAACAAATTTTTTGTTTAATTTGTTACTTGCTGCTTAAAGAAACTTCAGTTACTCTGTTTATTCCAGAACCAACCTTGTGCACAAAAGGTCATATCCAATATGTAAGTAATCCAATTAAAAAATAATCAAGCCCAAATTGCATCACACCACTTTAGTGCATCTACTGCACATATTCCATTTTAAACCCATGGGCTAGGGACAGACATTCAAAAAGCCTGAGCCTGAATTGATTCAATCTTTGCAGGTTAGTCTAGGCTAAATGAGTTCTGTAAATGGACAGACATCCCAGAAATGTAGGCACGTGCCTGTAGTGGCTCAGGCTAGAAGCGGGGGGCACTATAGCAGGCCTCCCTTCCTTCTATAGCATGGAGCTGAGGGAGTGTGGCCAGGCTCAGGCAGGATGTTGTGATAAACCCAGAAGAGAATTAATAACAGTGTTTATCAACCATTTAAGTTAACAACAGAGGGACATTACCAGCTACTTGTTGATTCTGCCTGTTGAATCAGCAGAGACTGTAGCCAGCATGTGGTCTGCTAGTTAATACACAAACACCTCCTCAGCAAGGCAGAGAGGAGCAGGGAATTCCTGCTTAGCAGGGAGTGGTGGTGGTGGTGGGAAACTGCAGCTCAGAGAGCAAGCTGGGATGCTGGGGGAGTTTGGTTTATCTTAAACCAGCAAGGGGTCTGGGACAGACATTGCATAAACCAGTTTGAGTCAAATCAGTTAAGTCTGATACTACATTCAACCAGGTTTATCTCAAACCAGTTTCAGCCATTCTCAAACTGGTTTATGTGCACTGAACTTCTGTTCTGTTATAGGTTTAAACCAGTTTCTGATCACTTAAACCGGTTTGTGTATAACGTCCGTCCCTAGCCCAAAAGATAACTCCATAAAACAAAAATAACCTCCCTCCCAAACCACATTGTATTATAAAGTTCCTATATTACAGTATAGTTGCTTGATATTAAGGTATGAATACCCTTGGCTTTTATTTTAGAAGATGCTGTTACAATTAATATATATAACCAGAAGGTTAACTACATAACTGATTTACTTATTATAACCTTACAGGGTTCTCCTTAATCATAATGTTAGAATACAGGTATATTAACTACAGCATATTTACACTAATTATTCTCAGTCATGCAATGTTTTATCTAGTTACATGTATACGTGGTAATTTATAACTATCAAAGAGAAAAAGTATAATTGCACTGTAATGGTAGTGTAAATAACACTAGGATTATAAACTGTGTCAAATGAATAATGAATTATAAGAGAAAAATTGGAAACAGAAGACTCCTACTTAGGTCTAAACTTTCAAAATTAGCTATTTTAGGTAGGGTTTCATTTTGCCAATTCTTTAGCTCCCTTTGATTTGTTTTACAGTGAAGTATGCCCTCATGCCCAAGGAATAAAATAGATTAACATTCTCTACAAACTCTTTCTTTCTTCTAAATACCATTTTATATCATCTCAACATTTAACCAACTCAGACCCACAGGGCTTATATATATGCAGAAAAGTGTATACATAGCATTGGGTGTGTGCAAGCAATCCAGTGAACCAGTAGAAGTTGTAATGGGGCCCCAGCCTATGACTAGAGGGGGAAGGGGTCTAGGAGTGACTGGCTCTCTCTTCCCCTTTTTTGTCTTTTCATTTCTGTTGTTTCTACACCCCCCCCCCCCTTTACTCAAACCTTCTTTGTTTTGCCTGAACCAAACTCACAGACAGAGAAACCTGAGACAAAAAGGCTACTGAGCCTAGGTACAGGCAGTGCCTGATGGACATAGGGCAGAAGTGGAGGGTTAGGTGTCTCAGAAAGTGCATTATAAGCCCAAACCTCAAATCAGAGCAGCAATCTGGTGGTAGCAACTACAGGGGATGGAGATCCTGATAGAAGATCCCAGGGACAGAACCCAGGGCTATGAAGTAAGGACTCAGAGCGGCAGCCAGGGTGAAGGAAACCTGAGAGTCTGTATTGGGAACAAGAGAAGTGCCTTGGGCCTTTTTTGTTTTTGTTTGGAAAGCATTGCACAGGGTGAGGTGAACCCAGGTGGAATACTTTTGAGTTGGGGCAGGCGCTCATGTTCTGGGGTTTCCATTTGTACCTGTGGACTGTGTTGTGGCTATAGGGGTGATGGAGGCCACTGAAATGGGTCCCTGGAAACACTCCAAATCTCAGGCTCAGTGTGTTAAGAGGACAGGAGATAGAGACTGAGGCATAATCCCAGAACTCATGAGGGTCAAAGCCTGCAGGAGACTGAGGCAGGGTTGGAACCAGTGAAAGTGGAACCCATGACCACAGAGGACTGTACAAGGGTTGCATGAGGCCTAGAGCCTGAGGTCACAAGGATGTGACAAAATCTGAGCCAGAAGCTTGCAGCCCTGGGTAATGGGCTTCAAGCTAGTGGGCACAGCCAAAGTAGAAGTGGGTTGCAGTATTGTCAGCTCTTACGATTTTTGGCATTGTTCTTGAAGTCTTATATATATAAGAAAGAGCTAAGTTTTTCACATTCCCAAAGCGAAGACTTTAAGAACAACCCCAAAAACCATGACAGTTGGCAACATGAAGGGTCCACTACCCAAAGTCCTCCTCACCCTCAGGGCAGCCTCCCCTGTCAATTCATTACATTAAGGTGTGGCAGAAGAGATTGCAATGGGGGAGACCCTGAAGAAACGAGGAGTGCTAGCAGGAAAAGAACCATAAAGGTGGAGGCACCCATAGGCCTACTACAGAAGTATACCAGTTTAGTTAAAGCAATTGAAAACCCTGATAGACCTCTATGCAAGAGTTCATGTGGCCAGGTGCATGCTCTGTAGACACCCTGCGCTGTAGAAGGCACCCAGCCAGGGGGACCCAGAGCATGTACCCCAATATGCTTTTCAGGCTCCCCAGTCTGCCTGGAAACTGGTGACAGTAGTGTAGGGCAGAGGTTCCCAGCAACTGGGCTGTGGCCCAGTATTGGGCTGCGAATGTTTGGCTTCTGGGTTGTGGCACGAGACCCCCACTCAGACCCCTGACTGTCTGCCCAGGTGAGCAGCTTCCCCCACCAGCCGTCACATGTGGGGTTAAAGCTGGGTGGTGGGGCAGTCAGCTCCATGAGCCCCATCCCATGCCCATGCTGGTCCACAGTATAAAAAAAGGTTGGGAACCACTGATGTAGGGCATAGGGCTACTTGGCTGGAGGCCACAAGAACCATGACCTTCTTGTAACAAGACCCCACTCCCTCCCTCTCAGCTGTTAGTCTATTAGACAGCAGGCCCAAAGTAGGTCTTCTGTCTTTAAAGCCTGTCATTTTCCCTGCCAAAAGCCCACAATGGACCCTACCTCTCTGGCACAACCTGAGGGTCTGGCTGCTCCAGGGGGGCTTGGCCTATGATGCTGCTGGGGCTCTGGTTTTAGGAGACCCTGCCACCATGGCCAGTGTTCAGGGCTCTCAAACCTTGCATTGGGAAGCATCTCCCCTGAACAGCACTTCTGTGCCTGGCACTGGTATGCCTGCATGTGGGGCTACAGGCAAAGGGCTCTGAAGGCCCACATGGGGGTGATGGTCCCCTCCACGGCACTTCAATCCAGTTCTCACAGCCCCATACATGGAGTTGTTGGCATGGGGCTCTGAAGTGCCATGGGAAGAGGGGTAGATTTGCCCCCCAAATCACTTCAGAGCCTTGTACCTGTGGCTCGATGTATAATGGGCAGGTGGTATCAAGTGAAGTGCCCCAGGGGTCATTTTTATTCAATACCTTCATCAACAGTATGGAAGATGGGATGGAGAGCACCTTCAGAAACTCTGCAGATGATACCAAGCTGTGGGGAGTAGTAGATATGCTGGAGGGGAGGACAAGACTCCAGAGCAACCTAGACAAATTGGAGGATTGGACCAAAAGAAATCTCATGAGGTTCGATAAGCAGAAGTGCAAAATCCTGCACTTAGGACAGAACAATCTCATGCAATGGCACAGGCTGGGGACTGAATGGCTAAGCAGCAGCTCTGCAGAAAAGACCTGGGGGTTTCAGTGGGAAATAAGCTGAATATGAGCCAACAGTGTGCTCTTGTTGCAAAGAAGGCTAACTAGGCTACATTTCTAGGAGCGCGGCCAGCAGGTCAAGTGAAGTGATCTCTCCCCTTTATTCAGCACTGGTAAGGCCACATCTGGAGTACTGTGTCCAGTTTCAGGCCCCCCACTACAGGAATGATGTGGACAAATTGGACAGAGTCCACTGG